CTTTATACAAATATATTCGGGGCCAGTACAAACCTTTATCTGGAAATCTATTCATAAACAGGGTTATACATAGGACACGAGGTCACACATTTAGGCTGGAAGAAAGGAGATTTCATCTAAGGCAAAGAAAAGGTTTTTTTACAGTAAGAACAATAAGGATATGGAATTCTCTGCCTGAAGAGGTGGTTTTGTCAGAGTCCATACAGATGTTTAAACTGAAATTGGATAAATACTTACAAAAACATAACATACAGGGATATAATTTCTAATTAGTGGGGTAATAGCTGATTGATCCAAGGAGACATCTGACTGCTATTTTGGGGTCAAGAAGGAATTTTTTCCTAGTTTGTGGCAAAATTGGAAGTGCTTCAGACCAGGTTTTTTGCCTTCTTTTGGATCAACAGCAACAACATTTCTGAGGAAGGCTGAACTTGATGGGCGCAAGTCTCTTTTCAGCTATGTAACTATGTAACTATGTAACTATGTACGGGCCACGCTCCCGATTAGACTGTTCAGCATGCGCCGCCCGCCAGGAAGAAGGAGTTTCCTCGCCGCATGAGGCTTGTCTGGAGGCTGGAGTGCTGCATGATCAGAGGACCCCTGCCATCATACAGACCGTGTAATTACCGTTACACTTAGTTGCCATGGATTTCTATGAATTTATCAATCTTGGTTTCAAGTAGACCCTCTGCAGCGCTGGGGAGCCCCATTAAGCGAGACACACATGTGTTAAGTTCAAAGAGACCGCCAACTTTATTGTGTAGCACAAATCAATATATAGCTGATAGACTATTTAAAAGCTTGCAAGATAGAAGCTAGATAAAAACAATGCATAAGTTAGACGCTTCGAAACTTAACTTGTTAGCTGAGAAACGATACCTGGCTTGTTAGCCGAGGAGTTAAATTCTCGCTGAGCACAAAACAGAAAAAGAGTGAGATACCTCCACCTATTCCTGCCAGGTGTACAGGGGATTCTGAGACCAAATTTGAGCTACCATTATCTTACTCCATAACTAGAACACAGCCCTGTTTAAATATGACCTCTCCTTCCAAGAAATCATGGAATTATCCAACAGAAATGTATCAGAGTAGAATAAAGAGCCTTCCGGTGTGGATAATTATTTTACGTGCTCTGACCCAATCTGAAGTCACACCGGAGCAGCAGTACTATATTACAAGACCTCAGTGGGAATTCAGAATGGTTTGTGTGGTATTGATGGTATTCAGGTGTTGTACCGGAGGATTGGAGGAAGGCAGATGTTGTTCCTATACAGGGAGTGCAGAATTATTAGGCAAATGAGTATTTTGACCACATCATCCTCTTTATGCATGTTGTCTTACTCCAAGCTGTATAGGCTCGAAAGCCTACTACCAATTAAGCATATTAGGTGATGTGCATCTCTGTAATGAGAAGGGGTGTGGTCTAATGACATCAACACCCTATATCAGGTGTGCATAATTATTAGGCAACTTCCTTTCCTTTGGCAAAATGGGTCAAAAGAAGGACTTGACAGGCTCAGAAAAGTCAAAAATAGTGAAATATCTTGCAGAGGGATGCAGCACTCTTAAAATTGCAAAGCTTCTGAAGCGTGATCATCGAACAATCAAGCGTTTCATTCAAAATAGTCAACAGGGTCGCAAGAAGCGTGTGGAAAAACCAAAAAATAACTGCCCATGAACTGAGAAAAGTCAAGCGTGCAGCTGCCACGATGCCACTTGCCACCAGTTTGGCCATATTTCAGAGCTGCAACATCACTGGAGTGCCCAAAAGCACAAGGTGTGCAATACTCAGAGACATGGCCAAGGTAAGAAAGGCTGAAAGACGACCACCACTGAACAAGACACACAAGCTGAAACGTCAAGACTGGGCCAAGAAATATCTCAAGACTGATTTTTCTAAGGTTTTATGGACTGATGAAATGAGAGTGAGTCTTGATGGGCCAGATGGATGGGCCCGTGGCTGGATTGGTAAAGGGCAGAGAGCTCCAGTCCGACTCAGACGCCAGCAAGGTGGAGGTGGAGTACTGGTTTGGGCTGGTATCATCAAAGATGAGCTTGTGGGGCCTTTTCGGGTTGAGGATGGAGTCAAGCTCAACTCCCAGTCCTACTGCCAGTTCCTGGAAGACACCTTCTTCAAGCAGTGGTACAGGAAGAAGTCTGCATCCTTCAAGAAAAACATGATTTTCATGCAGGACAATGCTCCATCACACGCGTCCAAGTACTCCACAGCGTGGCTGGCAAGAAAGGGTATAAAAGAAGAAAATCTAATGACATGGCCTCCTTGTTCACCTGATCTGAACCCCATTGAGAACCTGTGGTCCATCATCAAATGTGAGATTTACAAGGAGGGAAAACAGTACACCTCTCTGAACAGTGTCTGGGAGGCTGTGGTTGCTGCTGCACGCAATGTTGATGGTGAACAGATCAAAACACTGACAGAATCCATGGATGGCAGGCTTTTGAGTGTCCTTGCAAAGAAAGGTGGCTATATTGGTCACTGATTTGTTTTTGTTTTGTTTTTGAATGTCAGAAATGTATATTTGTGAATGTTGAGATGTTATATTGGTTTCACTGGTAATAATAAATAATTGAAATGGGTATATATTTGTTTTTTGTTAAGTTGCCTAATAATTATGCACAGTAATAGTCACCTGCACACACAGATATCCCCCTAACATAGCTAAAACTAAAAACAAACTAAAAACTACTTCCAAAAATATTCAGCTTTGATATTAATGAGTTTTTTGGGTTCATTGAGAACATGGTTGTTGTTCAATAATAAAATTAATCCTCAAAAATACAACTTGCCTAATAATTCTGCACTCCCTGTACATAGGACACGAGGTCACACATTTAGGCTGGAAGAAAGGAGATTTCATCTAAGGCAAAGAAAAGGTTTTTTTACAGTAAGAGCTATAAGGTTATGGAATTCTCTGCCTGAAGAGGTGGTTTTGTCAGAGTCACTACAGAGGTTTAAACTGCAATTGGATAAATACTTGCAAAAACATAACATACAGCGATATCATTTCTAATTAGTGGGGTAATAGCTGCTTGATCCAAGGAGACATCTGATTGCTATTTTGGGGTCAAGAAGGAATTTTTTCCTAGTTTTTTGCCTTCTTTTGGATCAACAGCAAAAACCTATGTGAGGAAAGCTGAACTTGATGGCCGCAAGTCTATTTTTAGCTATGTAACTATGTGTGTGGAACTGCAGGATGGTTCCTGCGTGGTATTTTGGGATGGCTCCTGCGTGGTATTTTGTGATGGTTCCTGCATGGTATTTTGGGATGGTTCCTGCGTGGTATTTTGGGATGGCTCCTGTATGGTATTTTGGGATGGTTCCTGCGTGGTATTTTGGGATGATTCCTGCGCTGTATTTTGGGATGGCTCCTGTATGGTATTTTGGGATGGTTCCTGCATGGTATTTCTGGGTAATTTGGTTCCTGCATGGTATTTTGGGATGGTTCTTGCATGGTATTTTGGGATGGTTCCTGCCTGATATTTTGGGATGGCTCCTGCGTGGTATTTTGGGATGGTTCCTGCGTGGTATTTTTGGATGGTTCCAGCGTGGTATTTTGGGATGGCTCCTGCATGGTATTTTGGGATGGTTCTTGCGTGGTATTTTGGGATGGCTCCTGCATTGTATTTTTGGATGGTTCCTGCGTGGTATTTTGGGATGGCTCCTGCGTGGTATTTTGGGATGGTTCCTGCGTGGTATTTTGGCATGGTTCCTGCGTGGTATTTTGGGATGGCTCCTGTATGGTATTTTGGGATGGTTCCTGCGTGGTATTTTGGGATGGTTCCTGCGTGGTATTTTGGGATGGCTCCTGCGTGGTATTTTGGGATGGTTCCTGCATGGTATTTTGGGATGGTTCCTGTGTGGTATTTTGGGATGATTCTTGCGTGGTATTTGGGATGGCTCCTGCGTGGTATTTTGGGATGGTTCCTGTTTGGTATTTTGGGATGTTTCCTACATGGTATTTTGGGATGGCTCCTGCTTGGTATTTTGGGATGGCTCCTGCATGGTATTTTGGGATGGTTCCTGCATTGTATTTTGGGATGGCTCCTGTATGGTATTTTGGGATGATTCTTGCGTGGTATTTGGGATGGCTCCTGCTTGGTATTTTGGGATGGTTCCTACATGGTATTTTGGTATGGTTCCTGCTTGGTATTTTGGGATGGTTTCTGCATGGTATTTTGGGATGGCTCCTGCGTGGTATTTTGGGATGGTTTCTGCGTGATATTTCTGGGTAATTTGGTTCCTGCGTGGTATTTTGGGATGGTTCCTACGTGATATTTTGGGATGGTTCTTGCATGGTATTTTGGGATGGCTCCTGCATGGTATTTTGGGATGGTTCCTGCGTGGTATTTCTGGGTAATTTGGTTCCTGTGTGGTATTTTGGGATGGCTCCTGCGTGGTATTTTGGGATGGTTCCTGCGTGGTATTTTGGGATGGCTCCTGCATTGTATTTTGGGATGGTTCCTGCGTGGTATTTTGGGATGGCTCCTGCATGGTATTTTGGGATGGTTCCTGCTTGGTATTTTGGGATGGTTCCTGTATGGTATTTTGGGATGGTTCCTGCTTGGTATTTTGGGATGGTTCCTGTATGGTATTTTGGGATGGTTCCTGCTTGGTATTTTGGGATGGCTCCTGCATGGTATTTTGGGATGGTTCCTGCGTGGTATTTTGGGATGGCTCCTGCATGGTATTTTGGGATGGTTCCTGCATGGTATTTTGGGATGGTTCCTGCTTGGTATTTTGGGATGGTTCCTGTATGGTATTTTGGGATGATTCTTGTGTGGTATTTGGGATGGCTCCTGCGTGGTATTTCTGGGTAATTTGGTTCCTGTGTGGTATCTTGAGATGGTTACTACGTGGTATTTTGGGATGGCTCCTGCAAGGTATTTTGTGATGGTTTCTGCTTGGTATTTCTGGGTAATTTGGTTCCAGCATGGTATTTTGGGATGGTTCTTGCGTGGTATTTTGGGATGGTTCCTGCCTGATATTTTGGGATGGTTTCTGCATGGTATTTTGGGATGGTTCCTGTCTGATATTTTGGGATGGCTCCTGCATGGTATTTTGGGATGGTTCCTGCGTGGTATTTTTGGATGGTTCCAGCGTGGTATTTTGGGATGGCTCCTGCATTGTATTTTGGGATGGTTCTTGCGTGGTATTTTGGGATGGCTCCTGCATTGTATTTTTGGATGGTTCCTGCGTGGTATTTTGGGATGGCTCCTGCGTGGTATTTTGGGATGGTTCCTGCGTGGTATTTTGGCATGGTTCCTGCGTGGTATTTTGGGATGGCTCCTGTATGGTATTTTGGGATGGTTCCTGCGTGGTATTTTGGGATGGTTCCTGCGTGGTATTTTGGGATGGCTCCTGCGTGGTATTTTGGGATGGTTCCTGCATGGTATTTTGGGATGGTTCCTGTGTGGTATTTTGGGATGATTCTTGCGTGGTATTTGGGATGGCTCCTGCGTGGTATTTTGGGATGGTTCCTGTTTGGTATTTTGGGATGTTTCCTACATGGTATTTTGGGATGGCTCCTGCTTGGTATTTTGGGATGGCTCCTGCATGGTATTTTGGGATGGTTCCTGCATTGTATTTTGGGATGGCTCCTGTATGGTATTTTGGGATGATTCTTGCGTGGTATTTGGGATGGCTCCTGCTTGGTATTTTGGGATGGTTCCTACATGGTATTTTGGTATGGTTCCTGCTTGGTATTTTGGGATGGTTTCTGCATGGTATTTTGGGATGGCTCCTGCGTGGTATTTTGGGATGGTTTCTGCGTGATATTTCTGGGTAATTTGGTTCCTGCGTGGTATTTTGGGATGGTTCCTACGTGATATTTTGGGATGGTTCTTGCATGGTATTTTGGGATGGCTCCTGCATGGTATTTTGGGATGGTTCCTGCGTGGTATTTCTGGGTAATTTGGTTCCTGTGTGGTATTTTGGGATGGCTCCTGCGTGGTATTTTGGGATGGTTCCTGCGTGGTATTTTGGGATGGCTCCTGCATTGTATTTTAGGATGGTTCCTGCGTGGTATTTTGGGATGGCTCCTGCATGGTATTTTGGGATGGTTCCTGCTTGGTATTTTGGGATGGTTCCTGTATGGTATTTTGGGATGGTTCCTGCTTGGTATTTTGGGATGGTTCCTGTATGGTATTTTGGGATGGTTCCTGCTTGGTATTTTGGGATGGCTCCTGCATGGTATTTTGGGATGGTTCCTGCGTGGTATTTTGGGATGGCTCCTGCATGGTATTTTGGGATGGTTCCTGCATGGTATTTTGGGATGGTTCCTGCTTGGTATTTTGGGATGGTTCCTGTATGGTATTTTGGGATGATTCTTGCGTGGTATTTGGGATGGCTCCTGCGTGGTATTTCTGGGTAATTTGGTTCCTGTGTGGTATCTTGAGATGGTTACTACGTGGTATTTTGGGATGGCTCCTGCAAGGTATTTTGTGATGGTTTCTGCTTGGTATTTCTGGGTAATTTGGTTCCAGCATGGTATTTTGGGATGGTTCTTGCGTGGTATTTTGGGATGGTTCCTGCCTGATATTTTGGGATGGTTTCTGCATGGTATTTTGGGATGGTTCCTGCGTGGTATTTTTGGGATGGTTCCTGCGTGGTATTTTGGGATGGCTCCTGTGTGGTATCTTGAGATGGTTCCTACGTGGTATTTTGGCATGGCTCCTGCGTGGTATTTTGGGATGGCTCCTGTGTGGTATCTTGAGATGGTTCCTACGTGGTATTTTGGGATGGTTCCTGCTTGGTATTTTGGGATGGTTCCTGTATGGTATTTTGGGATGATTCTTGCGTGGTATTTTGGGATGGCTCCTGTATTGTATTTTGGGATGGTTCCTGCGTGGTATTTTGGGATGGTTCCTGCGTGGTATTTTGGGATGGTTCCTGCTTGGTATTTTGGGATCGTTCCTGCTTGGTATTTTGGGATGGCTCCTTTGTGGTATTTTGAGCTGGTTCCTACGTGGTATTTTGGGATGGCTCCTGCGTGGTATTTTGGGATGGTTCCTGCTTGGTATTTTGGGATGGCTCCTGTGTGGTATCTTGAGATGGTTCCTACGTGGTATTTTGGGATGGCTCCTGCGTGGTATTTTGGGATGGCTCCTGCGTGGTATTTTGGGATGATTCCTGCGTGGTATTTTGGGATGATATCTGCGTGGTATTTTGAGATGATTCCTGTTTGGTATTTTGGGATGGCTCCTGTGTGGTATCTTGAGATGATGCTTGCATGGTATTTGGGATGGCTCCTGTGTGGTATTTTGGGATGGCTCCTGCGTGGTATTTTGGGATGATTCCTGTGTGGTATTTTGGGATGGCTCCTGCGTGGTATTTTGGAATGATTCCTGCGTGGTATTTTGGGATGGCTCCTGCGTGGTATTTTGGGATGGCTCCTGCGTGGTATTTTGGGATGATTCCTGTGTGGTATTTTGGGATGGCTCCTGCATGGTATTTTGGGATGATTCCTGCGTGGTATTTTGGGATGATTCCTGCGTGGTATTTTGGAAAAATAAAATAAATTTCCGTGTAGATACATTGTTTAGTGAGTCTGCTTGTGGCTACAGACAGACCCTCCCTCCGTTATAAGTAGAGATAGCTCCACTCAGGAGTGTCTCACGTCGGGCTATGGAGACTGATCTTATGCCAAAAACCGCTGTACAGCAGGGGCTTATGGGAAAAGTAGTTTATCCCACAAAAATAGACCCCCCCCCTCCAATCACATAGATATTAGTAAAGTTGCTGAATAAACAGATAGCAGCCCAGTCCCTGTTACTGTCTGTTCACATATCCATGTCTAGAGGAGAAATCAGACCAAGTTGCACACTTGGAAAGAATTGATCATTTTAACCTGGATCATCCTCCTGTCTGACTGAGTGCATGCTCCAGTTCCCAGCTCACTGCCTTAGAATATAATCTATGTAAAGAGGAACTGCATGGATTGGGTCATTGCACCATAACCACTTCAGTAAACAATTTTCAAGCTTAGAGTGACTTTTTACATCCCAGGCACACTCTGACCGAGACATCCCGCTCCAGGAATAAACCCTTTATAACTTGATGTGTGTTTCTGATTTCAGCTGACATATTCTCTCCATTGAAGTCTGTTGCTGGAGCTCTGGGATTTACACAGAGGGATGTAGCGTGTTAGATCGGGGCCTTGCACAGACATGCAGGGGAAGTGACATGTCCCCCAGAACTCCTTCGAGGCCCAGCCCCATCTAAAATGATTTTTAAAGGTTACTGTGCACAGATCTGGGGTTTACAAGGTGTGGAAACCAAGTCAGATTTGGGGAAATCTTCATCAGCAATCCATTCATCTTAAATGCAGATCCTCCAAGCCCCATGTAATAATTGAAATAACACAGGGACTTATTTACTAAACAGTGCATCACGGTAAAACCAAAACTAAATGAAACAATAATTAGTCCATAATCTGCTAATCTGAAGACATAACTAAGGTTGGATTCTAAGGAGAATGTTTGGCCTCTCTGTAATGTGCTCACTGTCACTGATGTAATGTAACAGTTTAACCCATTGCTGTACACAGGACTTGTTCCCCTAGCGAAGCACCTTTCACTCATTTATTAATAAATGGAAGAAATTGTGTTCCCATTGGTGCAAAAGTGCCAAAGTACTTCAGTAGGAGCCTCGTCTGATTTAACATAGATCTTTAAAGGTAGCCTATAATACAGAAAATAACAATAGTTTATACGGGATTATAAATATCCTTCTGTGATCTCTGTTCACCCGGTCTAGTGTTTAATGAGGATTACTATCCTTGTTTCCAGCGCCAAGACTCCTCTGCTGCGCCTTTGTCTTTGCCAGCAAGCCTGCTGACTCTCCATGATCTTGTCCAATCCTAGCGTTCTCAGAGAGAAGCATTGGGAATGAGAACTCAATGACCACACTCCAGGAGTCCAGTCTGACTTGGTTCTGGAATCGGAAGCGTCTGAAAGACAGCAAATAAAGGTATATTCAACCCTTCAATTTAAACATTGCTATTTCTACAAAATGGCAATGCTTTAAATGAAAGGGTTAAAAATATAGGGCCACTATAACCAGATCACATAATTGAGAGGAATGGATCTGTTGCCTTTAAATATATATCTCTTCTGCCTTCCTGTATCCTGGGGAACCTCTCCACCTGATGCTCGGTTAGTGTTTGAAATCACAGTTGTGTTAGTACATAGATCTCAATCAATATATAGTGGATTGCATGGACTCGTTTAGTCTATAGCAGCCTCGCTGTGATTGTAGCACAGTTTGAGAATTTTTCCAACTAAGAACATTTTGTCTAAATGTTACAATTAGGTCTGCAGCTCACTTCAATTCGGTGTTCAGTAACTCAAAATATTCCAACCAAATTCTTTAACTGAAAGACATTTGGAAACCAGAAATTGAAGCGTCAGTTGACTATTATTTTCTGAATAATTATTCCGATGCAGTTACAGATCAGCCGGCGCTGTGTAGAAGTAGGATTAGAAGTGGCAGTGTCCCCCGTGGGTTGGAGGTGGCCTGAAGCAGCGCGGGGTGATGAGGGATGTGGGGCGAAGGTCTGAACTAGGGGATGAAATTTGGCAGTTTCACTTATTCCAGCACCATTTGAAGACTAATTGGTGAGCAGTGTTTGTGGCCATTTCTCCAGAGATCCAAGTGGAAAGGAAATCGGAACCATATGGGGGAACGGATGTAAAGGAAAAGCCGACTGATACAGATAACGATAGCAAAAACAATGTTTCCAAACCAGCGCACACTAACAGACTATTCACTAAAGTGGGGATTTCGGTTTAAACATTCTCCCAGAGAGCTGCACTTTCAGTGCCCTATTTTGGCCTAGAATGTGAAATTCACTTTCAATTCTTGGTAAATCACATTCTGATAGGAATCTGTTCACTGAATAAGGAACTGGGGAAATGGCAAAGTACCTGGAAAAGTTTTACAACTCAGATCTAGCTACAAAATTGTAATTGTCTCGCCAATGACGGAGGTATTGAACATTGATTCACTACGAATTCACTACCAGTTCTCACCTTAGTAAATAACTCAGATATACTCCAGTGAACCCTGGAGATGGACTCAACGAGTTAACGGGAGATTTAACCACTAACTAGGACACGCAGACTGGGAGATGTCTAGCGGACACAGAGAGAGAATGGTTTGTAACTATTATTAACCCCTAGTGTTCCGAATCGGCAAATGAGTTCTTATGATTAAATGCTGTTATTTACCTAAAGGATTTTGAAAACCCCAATAATCATTCTCACTATATCTTACTGTGTACATTGAGGTGCAGGGTTAATCACCAGCTTTTCCCTGTCTCCTGTGGTTACATAGAGCAATGTGCCCCTCTCATCTGGCCCCTGGAAATCATACATTGCTAAATATCCCACATCATAGCTCTACTAAATGATATGGAGGGCCGGGCTCACCAACACAAAATACTCTCTGAATACAG